AGTCACTGTTTTCACATGCCGTCATGCTGCTGCGCACCTTTTCATTTCTGAATGTTGTATTTTTTCCACTACTTAGAAGAAAATTCTCTTCAGAAGTAAACAGCATGAGTGATTAATGTATGAACTATGAAGATGCTTGCAAAACTTCTCTTTAGATTAAAGCAAGTATAGGCTAAATTTCAAGGCATTTTTTTTCACTATAGTTTAGTAAAGAGATGATTTAGATGTCTAGCACAGAAATGTGCTAGACTGTGATAGATAAAAGATCAAGAAAGACTTTTTTGTGAATATGACCAATTACTGTGTGCTAACAAGCTCTTAAAAACCTTCCCAGGAACAGCTGAAGTTTTTATAACTCTCAGGCAAGGATCATCACAGCTATAGCTGACTTTCAACAAACTTTTTGATATATTGACCCCAAGCCCATCTCTTTGGATTCTCCAGCCACACTGGTTATAACACATTTAGTCTAAAACGCATGGGATGCATCTAGGGTAAAAAATAGTTCAGGTGACCATCCACTATTTTTAATGAATGAGGGTGATTTTGTAAAGTTGAACAAGGTGAGAGTGAAAATAAATCCTACAATTGCAGCAAGTCCTTAAATTTGTTTACAGATATGACTATTATGATCCTTACCATTAGGAGGATTTTAATCTACAATAATCATAACACTTTGCGAAGGCTCTTAGATAACCAGTACTGGCAACTAATGCAAAGTATATGTGCAAAAAGGCAAGCTGAAGTATATGTGCTCAAGCTCCTTGGAGCAGGAGAGGAAACCAATCTGTCCATCCAGACAGATATGGAAGCACAGAACAGATAATACAACACATCACAGAAATAGGCAATAAGACGAGATAGTAAAAAACCATCAACATACATCATCTGATCATGGTACGGTGTCATCTCCCAGCCTCTATTAGCTCTTGCTGCATCAGTGCAAGTCCCAGACACTTTATCCTGTTTATAATTGCTGATGAGCAGTAATAAGGCCTCCATGCCTCAGCTCCTGTCCGTTCCACTTCAGCACCCACCTATTAGGTTATAACTTTTATTTACAGCCTTGCTTGATGCGCTGTTCTATTAGTACAGCTGGAAACTGAGCGGGGGGGGCGGGGTAGAAGAGCATCCCTAATGGGCACTATTATTGCCAGGGCTGGGTGATTTACTATGCTGCTGGAAGGCTGTTCTATCATCACTTTCCTGTGGGTGAGAGAGCTCCAAGAAGGTTGGATTTCTAACACAATGCCCTCCAGAAGTCAAATGCTAAAGAACACCTTAAAAGTCCCCTGGAACACCAATGAAAAACATACCTCAAAGTTGTTTTAATGTTATAAACTCCCTTCAATAATCTTTTGTATAATTTTTGCTCAGGAGCTTAACACTTCAGAGCAATTTAAAAAAAAAAAAAATCTAACCAGTGGTGTACCAGATCTTTTTGACCTTACTCAACACACAAAGATTGATAAAAAATGATCATACAAAAGTAATGGTTTCTTGGTTTTGGCTCTGGCTGAAAATTTGTGTACTTTTATTTCCACAACCTGTCCTTTCTATAACCCCTAAAAGGCTGTCCTCTCAATCGTATAGGTTCAGCCTCAAAGCATCTAGATTTCTGGCACTGCTACAATCAAGCACACAACTTGGTATAAGAACATCAATAAACCCGAAACTTCAAAAAGGACCATACGCCTGCTTAACTGCTTTGCTCAAGAGGTGGAAGAATTATTTTCCATCTTCTAGACTCAAATCTTAAACGAGAAAAAGCATAGAGCAATGAGACAGATACTGTAACCTCATACAATATAAATACCACCACACCCATCTAGGACAGATATCCTCATAAAATGTGAGCTATCTGCACATATAACAATACCGAATATTAAGGACGCACGTTTCTCATGGACTGCTACTGAGAAATAAAGTACTTAAAAACCCACCAACTTTATGGATAGAATGTAGGAATTGATTGTATCATTACTGCATTTTATCTGCCTGTTTCTACTACCCTCTCTGCCGCACAATTAAAAATAAACTGAGCGCACTCACACAGTTCCACCGATTTTTTCCAGGTTTCTTTAAGCTGCATAAAAATGTTCTAAAATCTCGGCTGTTTAGAATTGCGTATTAAATCATCTTTAAGCTGTACAGCAGAAAAAGAAGAATAATATGCCACTTAGTACTGCACTTTCACAACACGGGCACCCAATATAAATGGGATCTGGATGCCCTGCTGACTAGAGTAAGCCTCAAAGTATCTGCCATCAATCATAACATTACCTAACCACTAAGAAACAAATCAAAATGCGTAAGAAGCTATACACCAGGCCACACAGTCCCATCTTTTTTCCTACAAAATCTTCAGACCACTGGCTCTCAAAAACCTTTGAGGCATCATCCAAACAAATGATTGCAAGGCTTTATACATTCTTCTCATCATAAACCTTGTCCTACGGGCACACTTGGAAAAGAAATACTTTTTACCACAGCGATGATTCTGGCAAACAGAAGGAGGAAAAAACCCGCTATCTGGTGTCACAATACAATTTATCTGAACAGCTCCTCCAGCATGACAGTTGACAAGTGCATGAGGTAAAAACTTCTTTTTTTGGTAAGAGAACTTTTCCTGTGTCTTTGCAGATTTACTGTTTTGATCTTTCTTCAATGGTTATGTTAATGCTAATAAAATATGACAGGTTTATGTCTTCCTTAATATCCTCCTGATGGAAACCTGCATACAAGATAAGCAGGTCAAATTTCTAATTTTCTGTCTCAAATGCTGATACATGGCAGACTTTAGGGAAAAACTATGCTTGAAGGGGGAAAAAAATTACACAGATGAATTCCACCAAAACATTCTTCCTTCAAAGCTCTTCCAAGCAGAAGAAATGTAGAATACTTACAGAAAAGAGGCTTATACACAACATGTAGTATTGACAAATATTGCTTGTATCACTTAAATAGCTTCCGAGGAAGGGACGCGAAGCTGAAGTGAATGTAGTGTGAAATATTCACCTACATAGTCTGCTGCTTATGCCTGAAGATGTCACACCGTTTCTGGGTAATATTTGGTAGCCAATGTTTTCTTGTCAATTCCCATATTTATCTGGATTCCCAAATGCAGACTTTGAAAACATGGTAATTTATTTTAAAAATGAAAGTTTGCTGAAAATTCAAGCTCTGGAGAAGAAAACTGTAACTCCTGGTAACAGGTTTATTAGTGCAAGGGACTACAAACAAAATATGCAGATCACTGAGCAAATAATATAAAAAACATTGGGGGAAAATGAGGTAATATAAAATAATTAGGCTTAGTTGACTGAAGATGAAACTTGTGGCATCAAATTAGAGAAGATCTCCCTATTTTCTTGCTAAACGCACCAAATGATTAACATACAAGCATGTAGGGACCAAACATTAGCATAAACCGAAAATAAGAGAACTACTGAGCAAAGTTAGCCAACCATTTAATGGGTATTTTTCAACATATCTAGTAGCTTCATCTGCTTTATTCTAAGGAGCCTTTACTGTTGCCATTTGACACTCCAGATAGTGGACTTACTTGCCTTTTTGTTAATCACAAGCACATTTTTTTTAAATATTCATATAGTACTCTCAGTTTTTAGTATCTATAGCATCATAGAAAGCTTTTAAATTACCCTGCAATGAAAACCAGAGTTAAATATTACAACAGCTAACGTAGAAAGAAAATACAATTTAGCAATACCATGAGCAAACCAGATTAGTTTGCGTGGGATTCAGTGGCAAACATTCCATCTTGTTTAGGCACACCTCCACAGCTACGTAGAAAAGAAAATCCACAGTGTTCCTATTCAGGAGAAGCTGGATCCAGTATCTTCCAGTGCCAAACTTAAGAGAGTTCTCTGGCAAACAATACTCACAGCATTGTCACAGATTATCACGCATTACTTGAGAGGTCTGCACCTGCACCAAGTGCGAGGTAACATAGCTTCTCTTTAACCTTCCTTCACTGCAGACCAAGCCAACTTGCATCATCATACGTTCGCTGCAAGCGAACAACATGCGTATCTGGAACTACAGTTCAGCTAAACATACAGTAACTCGAAGCACTTTTTGAAATAATGACCTCAGAGGAAATTTACCTTGAACTCCTGAAAGAACAAGAGCCCTTAATCAAACAGGAACACCCTTCCTTTCTGCACACTCAATACAGCTCAATTGGTACATAAATGCAAATATAGGCAAAAATTGTTTTGGAAATACAGACCGCTAGAACTTTACCACTACCCTAGATGCCTGCCGCTGCCACTCCACAGGAGGTTATGGCTTCCCACAGTGGCGCTGGTGGAAAGGATCATATGAGCTCTCCTTAATCCATGCAAAACCAAAGTCTGAAAAAGATCTAAGCAATGCGGGTAACTTGGCTGGCTGCCTGCCTGAATGAGTGCTCACACGATTCTTCGTGACAGATCTGCTGCAGAAGCAGAAACTTCAGCCTGGCAATGACCTAACATGTCACTACTAACACTAGCTCTGTGAGAGATTATCCATCTATATCCTCCATATAGAAATAAAGTCATCGAAAGGACCCAAAGCAGGTAAAATTTAGTCTCTATGCAAACATCCGCTGTCTATACTGCATCTTCGATCCGGGGAAAGTAAAGTCAATATACTCCAAACAGTTTTCGACTCAATACTTTGCATTTAAAGGGGGGATTTCCAAAATACTATCACAATCATTAGACTTAAATCAAACCGATTACTCCTGTATGTCTTATGTTTACAAAGATTAACTGAAAACGTAGTATATTTATGGAATTATGTTTAACAGGACTCTGAGATGAACTATCTGCCATACAAATCCTTTTATATATACATTTCTGACAGCAAAGCAACAATATTTATTTTCATTTGGCATTTGCCAGATATAGTTACTACTCTTGACTATTAAACTATAACCACAGAGCTATATATCATGCAAAATATAATTCCTCGACCCCCCCCAAAACACATACCTGAGTCGCAAGATCTTTTGGTTGGTGTGGTTAACGAGGCATGAGCTGTACCTGTGCATGGCCCACCTGGAAACAGAGAAGATCATATGTCTCAAAATACCACCTATATTTAATATTTACAACCACATCCAGATTATACTTAGGAATATAAAACGCTGAGGAGCACTTGTCTTTGGAAAGCACATATCGAAGCAGTCTATTATTCTCAGTATTTCTTTCCCAGTCAAATCCGAGTACGTCTTGCACTGAAAAAATAGATGAGAAGTTGGGACAAAAAGACAAGTTATGTTATACTTCATAAATATTTCAAGAGGCAGTTTTAGGAAAATACACACTGTAATTGCAATTTTTCCAGCATTGACAAAGGTACTGTTTATGTCAGAACAAAGTTAGAAATGTGTCTAACTAACCCACAAGTAACGCAGGGGACGAAGTGATCGCTTACCCTGATGTCGACAGAAACCTTGTCGCTGACTCCAGCGAGATAACGACTTTGCCTCTTATCTTGTTCTCATTATGTTTTCAAAGTGCAGCACAAGCATATGCTAACAAACTCTTCCCATGTTTAAGGGTTTTTTTTGTTGAACTCTGGACTCTTGCCCACTCATCTGGTATCTGCTTGGCAGTAAATTGCTTTCTGGCTTTTTTTCTTAACATGGATCATCGTCAAAGAGTTCTCCAGAGATCTTGTTAAAATAGCAACCAATTGAGTGTACTCAGCGACTTGCAGTAAAAATAAAAAAATAAATAAAACCAAACCCCATATAGTGAAGCCAAGACAAATTGACAGTATCATTACCAGTGGTAGTAACACATCATAGCTTTGATAATTGGATATTACAAATTGGATGATGCTAGAGAGCCTGAAATTAAGTTAGGCCTAGTAGAGTTTGGCTACCAAAATACCAATAATCAAGTTTGCACTGGACTGCTGGTGATATAGCGGTACTAGGCTGGCAATACAACATAGCTTAGTATGACAGGATAACCTTTAACATAAGTCTTCATGCCCTGAAAAATACGTTTTCCCTTAATTTTTTTTCAGTCTTTGCATATCTGGAAAGCAGCACTGTGGCTTTGACAATGTTGTTCTCTTTTCAAATATTTTCGAGTCTGGCCTGGTACTAAACTGTTTCTTTTTGCTTCTCTCCAAGATGCTCCCCCTTCAAGTTTTTCTTTCATTTCTATTTTTCAGTAAGTATCAGATCTTGGGTAACTTTGTCTACCCTGTAAAACTCAGAGCATTGCAACACTACAAAAAAAAGAAAAAGAATCTTCTGCAATTGGGAGGGAAAGATGTGAGGAAATTATTTTGGTGCATTTGATTTCAATGAAATGCACTTGGGAGCAAAGATCTCACAAGTTTTACACTTTCAGTTTTCTGGAGAAGGACTGATAAACTTCCTGAGTTTTCTGTTCTCCCAAAAAGTCCCTCCGGCAACATACACCATTTCATAACCATGCAACAGGTAATCTTTAAAGGGGTGGTTACAAAGGCCAACGAGCCAGCGTTTGGCCTGCAGGCAAACACTGAGGCCACTCATTAGGGCCTGGCCTGAGGTTAAGCTAAGTGAACAGGACACGGGAAACTACCGAACACAACCTAGGAAATGGCTGCGTGTGACAGGCAACAGCATAAGCAGCTGGCAGAAGTTAGACAGTGCTGTGAGGGACGGCCGGATTTTGCAGGCTGGTAAGTGGGGAGTTGGTGAGAAATGGTTGAACTCCACAGGCAAGCGGAGGGGAGCGGTGGGGACCTCTCTGCAGAGTCAAGTCTGCACGTGAGAAGAGCCAAGCTTGCTTTCGCAGTGAGGAGGATTGGGAGGCGTGGGCTGGGCGCCTTCCCTGGCCAACAGGAAAACATCCCAGATGGATGGATCAAGCATCCTGGTATCACCGTGTTGGTGCCCGCTCCAGGCCTGACAGCACTGGCAAGCAACAACCGCTTTGCAACAACCAGAAATGGTCAAGTAAGCTCAAATCATTTTTTACAACATACCTTTTTCTAGGCTAGAATATTAAAAAAAAAAGGAAGTAGCATCTTGATCCATGTTAGCCATACTATCATAAAAGGCTCAAAAAAATGCCTAGTCTAGGGTTTGGTGCATTTGGTAAGAAAATCAATATTACAACAGAACCCTTACCAGGTTTTCCACTGAAACCTTTCGGATATTCAAAAAACTACACAGCAGTTAAGTTAAAATCACACAGCAGTCTGTTAAGTCAGTCTCAGCTTTCAAAGACCAAGTATATAGTATTTGGTTTCAATATAGACTTTGAGTAAACAATATATACAACAGGATGTGGAATATATCAAAATATATACAACAGGGTATGGAATTGCAATGAACTGACTTTAGACCACAGCTGCCTCTTAAGATGCAGCAGCTCTTCTTTAAATAATTCTAGTTACATTCTCCCAGTTTTCACTAAATAGACATTGACAGGCATCATCACTGTGGACTATCAAATAAGACTAATCCTTCCAATTATTGTACAGTAAATATTTACACTAGTTGATACTTTCAGCATCCAACTAAATATAAGATCTTTATTTCTCACTCTCTAAAGTACAATAAATTGGTATGTATTCTGCACTTCCCTGTGTCAGAGTTTCTTTTATTTAATCTTCCCTCATTAGGTATTACTTTCATACAGCTTTGATTTGTATAGCACAGCACCAGAGTTTCAACAAAGAATATCTTGGGATTTGCATGCGCGTACACCAGTGCCTAACAAACAGCGAAGGCTGCATGTCCTTTGCAGCATTTCCTTCTGCTACTGTTTTTGTTCCACCATTAAAAATGTCATGCATAATTCAATACTATGTAGTATGGGCTCGACTGTGCAATTCTACGTGGAAGTCGTTATGTTGAATCTTTTGGTATACGTAACGGCTAATACAGGCATCTTTGTATTATTTGAAACAGGGCAGTATATTTCCCACAGCTTTGATAAAAATTCTGCATGAAAGAAAAGGGAAGGCAGGTAACAGTAGAACACCAGTCCTTCTTGGCTATACACAAAGGTAGGCTTATTACTCAGCATGATTCAGGATTTATCTGCACCTTCATTCCCCCAAAAAATAAGTGTTTCAAGGGAATTTAACTGTGCTACATAAAACACTTCAGTGCACAGTGAAAGGCCACACATGTCTAGCTTCTAACATAACCCACAGGGCTGTAGACTGCTATTTTTTCTCAGCACAAACAAGAGATTAAAATGGAAGAATAAAGGTATCTTTCTACTCTATATCCAATTAACAGATAAACAATAGCTTCTGCTCCTGTTTTTTTCCAGTGTATGGTTTCTGGCATTTGCTACTCCTCTTCCAAACCAAAGCAGCCACTGCCCAGCAGTAATGTAATCCCAAGAGAAGATGATTAAAAATGCAAAAATACTAAAAGCTAATGAAAAAATTAGGAGAATTGTGAGAATCACTGAGTTTGCAAATTCAAACACAGAATTAATAAAGGACAAAACAAGATCCTTTAACTTGAATACTATCATATATTAAAACAAAAGGTCTTGTTAATGTAGCTGCTATGTTTTTGTCTTCTGATATCCCTAGCTTTCTGTAACTTACTGTTAATTGTACTCTAAATATACCAATTTGGAAAAACAAGTTCAAAACCAATTTCTCTGCTAACTCTCTAGAGTAGCAAAATTTTATGTATTACTTATATTTCTATATACGTGTTAATATTGTTACTGTTTACTATTATAGACTATTATAATTTGTACATATTTAAATTGACCTTTAGAATGTCTTTCTGCATTGTCCACCTCCCTTCCTGAAAGACAGTAACAATCGCCAAGTAGCACCTGTCCTGCAGGACATACCCTGAGTCAGGGTAACTTCTTGTTTCCCCTTCCTGAAGTCTTCCTCTTCTGAAGTGAAGCAACTCCACTCAGTCAGAACTTCTGGAAAAGTGAAATACTAGGGTAACCCCCCTCTTTTTGCTGTCCGAGGAAGTGCTAAGTTTGAGCCAAGAGCACATGTGTCAGGTATATTTGAACAGCACTTGGAAGCACTTCTTGAGCAGAGGAAGAGATGCAGAATGGAGTGAAACCAAGCTTGTACAAGAGTACAAAGCCTAAGATTACAATAATACACTGAAATGATTACAGATAACGCAAAAACTGCAAGCCAGCTAATGAACAAACATGAAAAATAAGTGAAGGAGCCTGAAGCGCAGTAACACTTGATCGGAGTAATGCTGCTTTGAGCTTTCAGTACTCTGTAATGGTTCCTTCCCAGAAAAAGCACAGCAACTCCCTGCATGGAACTGGCTGGAAGAGGGTAATAAGTAAGAGCTGAATTTCCTTGGACAGCAGTGTTGTAGCCAGGACAGGGAGAATGTCATGGCTATTTGCAATACAGGAAAGAACCCACCTTTGGAAACCTGTCCAAACCAGTAATCTAGTTGTGTGTTTCCTAAATTGGTACAGACATAATTGAATTAACCTACACAATTGAGTTTGAAAACAGTCATTGATTACAAACACCAATACATAAACAAACAGGAACATAAAGCTCTAAAGTCAGTCTGCACAGACAGAATACACTCTAAGGAAAAAAAGCAAAATAACTTTACAGCACTTAAGAACTGCTTGTTTGCTGCAGAATGGGTAAGCTGCATGGTAAGTTATGTCGTTACTAAGCAGATAAAAGGACTATATCACATACAAACACATACTTTTTAAATCCTAGTTTTACAAACCTGACATTATTTATTTTTGTGGATTTTTATCTACATGTAGCTTCTGGAGAAGGAAGTGAAACCTGGACTGCTTTGCTGCTGCTGAACGGCTGGTAAATTTAACAACTATAACAAAGTAAACGGAGACAGGATTCAGGTTCCACTTTTTTCCCCTGCTATTGTCTCACTCTGTTACCTGCTTTTTCTCAGTTTCCTCATTTGTAAAATAGCCATGGAACTTTCCTACTTTATAGGTGTAAGTTGAAGTGTAAAAATGTGCTTTTGAAACCGGCAGTTAAATTATATTTTTACAAATAATTTTTATGTAACCTTGATAGCTGTGCAGCTCTAACCCACATTTTT